AAAGGTAAATCATTATCTCAATATTTATTCTATATATTCTAAGTAAATCTTCTCATCTATCTCAACGGTCCGCAGGTAGTATTTCATACTTTTCTATTCATAATCAAATATACCAAACCTTCACAAATTTTACTTCACAAAGAAAGTGTTCAATAATTTATATTTTTTTTCCTTCTTTGCAATCCATTTATTTTTATTACATATATATAAATTATATCATTTTTAATATTTCACACGTTAAACATTTCAGGAAAATATACCATCCCGTGCATCGCACGGGTACTGTACTAGTTAATAATAAGACTTGGAGTCGTTAATTAAAAAGTCAGTATGATTAGTTAGTTGGCCCTCATTACATAACTAAGCATGTGTCATACTTTTTGGTCATAGTTATATTTTTCAAGGAGAAAGCAATATATTATAGACTGTAGCAAGAAGTTAAATTAAGACCATGCCCAGAAAGACTTACACTGTCGGCAATGGCGTGGCCCTCGTTGTTAAACTATTATATTCGAATATTTTTTATACATTATTTATTTATTTTTCATTTTTGAGCTACCAATTAGCTAGTATCCAAAAAGTAAACAACAAAATAACAAACCTAAAAGTGAAAAAGTTTCATCTTCTGCAATAAGTTCAAATTTAACTAGTCAAACTTGAATATTTACAAACCAAACTATAAAAAGTTATATATTTTAGAACCTTAATGAGTAGACTGTAGACCTAAGCTGCTCGTTTAATTTAACATCACTAATCACTCTAGCCTCTATTTCTTATTAATTGAGAATAACAAATAGATTGAGAAATTTAAGAAAACAAATGCATGACAGGAACCTTCAAGACCCAACTCTAGGAAGCTTCGAAAATAAGTCATCAACAATTTGGAGAATTAAAGACACCCTCTAACCTTTTAAAAAATTTTATTCTTATTTTAACTCATCGTGTCATTATTCTATTTTTACTCTTTTTATTTCATTAATGAGTCTTTAACTGCCATAATTAAAATCTAATCTAATCTAATAATTGTTAAGGGGTAGTTTTCTCCTTCTCTTATTTCTTATTTACACGCAAACCACTTTTATTTTCCCCCAAATTGATCTTCTTCTTCATTTTCCCTTCATTCATTTTTTTCTTTTCTTACACAACAACACAATATTTTATTTCTCTTCTCTTCTTATTCCTCATACTTCTTCAATTTAAGATAAAAAAATGAATCAAAATTATTCACCATCTAACCTACTCACACAACACCAAATTCGACGGTAGGGCTACGAGCGGCGACTTTGTCCAAGGGCGGCGTGCCCATCAAGTCTCGAATTTAGGGGCTGACCGGCGATGACACGACCCAGCAATTGGCGGGCTTCAGCCGAGGGAGGCGGTGGCTTTCGAGTTGTGGAGGTCGTCGAACATGGGCTCGGCGGCTGAAAGCGGAAATTGAAGAATATGGAGGTAACTGTCTGTTGCTTGTTTATGATTTTTTCTGATTTATGTGTGCTTATAATTTCTTACAAAAAGGGCTGTTTTTTTTTAAAAAAAAATTAAATTAAATGTGTAGTACTGTACTGGCAAAATTCAGAATCCCATTTTTTTGATTTTATCTATTTATTTATTTGGTTATTTAAGTGGTTATGCATCATTTATTTGTGTCCAACATCTCTATCTTTGGTGATTAACAAATTAGTGAATTGTGAGATGAATTGTTATTCGCCTTTATTCTTGTCATGACACTGGTATCTTATTTGACATATGTTACATTGTTTTTATGTTGTTTTATAGTTGTTATGTTATTTTTTTAATGTTGCTTGATAGTTGCTTTTATGTGACCTCTGATTCCATCTATTTCTGCCAAAGTTGCCGGAGGTACTAGACCAAAGGCGTGGCCTTGAGGAACATCCCAGTTGGTTGTGGCTCCAAGAATAACGTGGCTTCAGTAATTTATTCTTATGCATTCATGATGTTTGAAGAAGATGAACAAGAAGAAAAGAGAAGAAAAAGAGAACGAAATAAGTAAAAAAAATTGTGATTTATGCAGATAAGATTTATTTTTATTTTTGGTTGCTTATTGTAGTTTTGTGATTTGCAGATAGGAAGTTTTTTTTTATTTTTGGTTGCCTATAGTGGTTAATGGAGTGAGAGAGAAAAAATTCTAATATTTACTTTTTGAATTGGAGACGGTTATTGGATACAGTTACTTGATATTACAATTTGGAAATGTTTGGAGTAATTTTGGAATTCTGTCTCCCATGTATCTTTTATGTAATTTTTTTTTTAAGGAATGGTTTAGTTATGTCTTTTCGCCGAATCTCTCTATGTAATGTATCTTCATGGAGATATATATTGCACTTAGTCATCAAGTTGGTAGTGGATTTTGTATTTTAAAATTGAATGTGGAGAATTATAGCTGTTAAACGAAATATGTTGTTTGTGAGATATGTTTGACTAACTCGAGCGTGTGCAAGTCGAGTTAAAATTGAGCTTGAGACCGTTTATTGATTCGTTCTGTCACGGGTCTGAGTCAATAACAGTTCAAGCCCAAACTCGAGTATCAAGAGCTCGAGCTCAACTCAGCTCATTTACTCTTCAATATGCAACTAAGAAAAAATGTATGAATTAAAATTTATAATCTTTACATCTTATTACCAAATAATCAAAGTTACACCGCTAATTGTGGGTTTCAAAAAAATAATTATATTGTACCAAACTAAGAATTAAAAATCAAGAAAAATAATCAGCTAAATAATGAAGAAACATATTGTTGTTATACGAAATTTGACAATTATAATAACAGGGATTAATTAAGTAGAAAGCTGTAAAATAGTTGGATTTTTATTATCTTTAAGTCTGGTTCGAGTAACAAAAAGCCTGTTATCTGTGGAACCGAGTTGTTTTATATGTGAATTAAATATGTCTGAAAAAGATCCTCGTACAGGAATAAATGATGTTATTTATAGCAACTCNACCATAAGCTTCAAAAACTGGTGGACACAAATATGCTCTCTGAACCAGAACCCAGTTGCAGAGGCTAGGATCCAATTGACAAGCTACTTACTATGGTGGATGTGGAAAACGAGGAACCTTTGGATGTTTGAGAGCACAAGGAGGTCTGAGCTGCATACTGTGAATCTTGCTAGGCAAGATTGGTCTGAATTCTCCCTTTGTACAGGTGTCTGGTAGATAGGTTCTTTTTAGTCTTAGTTCCCTCTTTTTCTTTGTATTATTTGTGGTTAGGTTTTGTTAATTTGCTAGGTCCCAGGTGGGTGCAGTGGCAAGTTAATTTTGCTGCCTATATCGGATGTTCCTATTCTGTTAGGCTCGGAGTCTGGTCATCACTTATGGATCTCAAAGATCCTCTTTGCTGTGAGTGAGTCCCTTCTCTTAGGTTATTTAGAAGCTGGTGCTTCTCAGTTGTAATGGCTATGGCCTAAAACTTCATTGTTTTTTGCGTATAAAATTTGCCGTTTTGAAAAAAAAAATAAAATAAAAGAAACGCCCCCAGAAAACACCAGAAAATGCTGCATCTAATATACATCAATCCAAAAGTTGTTGGGTAGCTCTTATAAAATAAACTACCAAAATTACTAGAGAACCTAATGTAATACTGTTACTAATAGCAACAAAGAGCTACCAACAGCAAAACGGGCCAACAAAAATAGTCTGCTAAACTTGATACTGTATATTGCATCATTTACTAAACATGATATTGCATCATTATATTTACAACAAAAGCATGCACGCTTCAGTTTACTGATACCATTCAAAAGCTACTACCTGCATAAGTTCAAATAAAAGAAAAAGTTTAGTCAAGGACAAACAATAATAATACAAATAGGAATGAAGTTAAGCTATAGTTCCACACGGAAAAGTCGATCCTCCCAGGTTTTTTACCGTTGGATCACACATCCATGTTTGTGATCCAACGGTAAAAAATCTAGTGAGGGCAGATAGGCAGAGATTTTCTAGGTCCACACACACAAACACACATGCAATATAAGGATAGAAAAATACAGGCCATGTCATTCAAATCTTGGTTCAAAGTAGACAATTGAAAAATCATTTGCACTTGATTCACAACATAACAAGCCAAGTTCCAGCACATTTACTCACTCATGAAAGGCTCAGTTTGAAATTCGGTTTGACCAACAGTAATCTTAAGCTCGACTCATACACAAATGAAACAGCACTCAAGCATACATATTGGAGCTTGATAAAAGTCCAAACATGTTCGAACATTTGAACAAACTAATTCTTTTAGCACATAGTAACCATGATCATCAAAGCACATACAAATCTAAACCAGAGAGCCTAAGCAGGTAATGCAATCACCAAAACAGGGGAAAAAAGCCACGAGTGATGAATATAGTACAATCCTTAAATGCAAGAGGGAGAAAAAGTTTCGAACCTTGTAAACATCCAAAAGAAGCACCCTATTTGAGCCAAGATGGCGGTGGCCAGAATATGTCAGCATACTCGGGAAACCTAAGCAACGACCCCATTTTACCACTTCCAAAATCACACACGCCCGTATTATGACCATGCAATTCTCTGAACTTGACTTTCACATCAGGAGCAGGAACAAAGCCATCAACTTTAGTATAATCATCACCATCAGAATCACAACAATCACACATGAAATATTCATCATCATAACAATCACTGCCAGAAATACCGTCCGAAGAGCATTCCCACTCGTCAAAACATTCATGAGCATAGACCACCTTTTCCTCCTTGGTCTTATAGTCAAAGTACTGATCCGTGTAAAAAACACGAGTCCCATCACATCCCTCAAATTCCTTTGCAGGAAGAGAAAATGAGCAATCATCGCCTGCGAATATTATCCGATCATCTACTGTTTTATCCATAACCCAATTCCCCCTTTGTTTATCCATCCTATAAATCAGAATCTCAACAAACGTACCAAGAACAGGGGTATTCGGAAACCTACATATACATGCATCATCGTATTCTTCACGGCACCTACAGACTCTTTTGTCCTTATCAGTCAACCCCTCTACCAAATACAACTCCCTATCATACAGTTCGACCAAACGCCTTTTAGAAGCATCGGTGAATAAATTATACATGATTCTAGTTTGCCCGAATTCAGAATCAAACACCCACGCAGATCCATTCACATCAACCGCATAAAATTTGCCGCTGAAGAACACAACATCAAGAAAGCTACTACTGTAGTAACCATACTTATCATAAACCTGAGTCCACTTCTCATCACCCGATTTTACGTACCACAGTTCTTTCTCACCAAAAATCGCCATCACAATGCAGTCACTGTTATCCACACCCCACGAGACAGAGACTTTCTTATCGTATTTATAGTCATGCTTACGCTTGGATTTAACAGGATTCACATAGTTGAGAGTGTAAGCCCGGCATACCTCAGAAATTCGATAATTCAAAGTGTCGAGCACCTTCGGAATGGGCGTTTCCGGCTGGATCTTTATCCTGTGGTTGCTCGCAGGATTCAGAAGCTGCATTTTGCCGTCGCCGGACCTCTCGACCTTCGCCACCCAGAAATTGGGTTGTTTGCAATCAGGCAATTGGACGCGGTAAACGATTCTTTCGGTGAGGGCGAAGTACTCGCCTGATCCGCCGTCGTCAGGGGCGAATGGGAACGGGAGCTTGATCGGCGTCTGGAGGGGGTTCTTAAACGGCGCCGTCGAGGAGCGCCATGAGTTGCAGACGGCCCGGAAGCGGAGGACGTCGGTCTCCGTGTCGAGGCATTTGCCAATCTTGTCGATGAGTTCTTTAGGGAGATCGGCCCACGAGAAGGCGATTTTTGCCTCGTTAGCCATTTTTCCGATGGGATTTTGCAGGAACCCTAATTCAGTCTGTGTGGTGGGGCGAAGAAGGGGGACGATCGCGATATTTATAGATGGAATTTGGGATTGAAAATGTGCGCCAAACTACGATTTTTCCAGTTAATTTTCATCAAATGATGTAATTAATTTTCCCGGCATTAATTGATTCTCGTCAAACTGAATAACATCAGATTTTCATTTTTATACCGAAAATCAAGGAGTTTAAAAAACCAAGATTCTGTTAGTAATTAAATAAATTGATTTGAACTTAGTTGAATCTAGTAGACATGAAAGTTGAACTTGAACAAAACGAGGGAAATTTTCAATTGATATAAATACAAAAGTAAATATATGATAACACATATGTATGTACATAAAAAATGTGCAAAAGCATAGTTAGGATTTCTCTCTCAACAAATATTTATTAAAATATTATACATAGTTACTTTATTCAACTATATACCTATTCGAAAATCGATAAGTATTGGGATATCAAATTTCAGAGAAATAATCACAGATCACAGCAAAATTATTTTCCAATAAGATCAAGATATGGACCTACCTGTATGAAGAATGATCGAATAACTTGACTATTTAATAGTTCAAGCTGTAAGATGTATATCACCTTATCGAGTCAACGACTAGGTACTGCATGGTATATCACACTTCACACGTAATTGAAACCAGATTAATATAGCCAAGTTGAGATATTAGTCACAAATTTTTCCTTTTTTCCCTTTCTTCATTATTGATATTTCCCCCTTTTTTTTGCATTTCATTTTACATACAATTGTTTATACGTCCCCATAAGTCACAACCATGCAAAAAATCCCAAAAACTTTTGCTCGGGCAACAACGTTAGCAAAACACAACATCCATGTTAAAGTATAGTGTCAAGAACGCGACAAAATACGCGCATATAGGAACTCGTTCCACGTGTCAGGCAGTCCAGGCAGACACCAGTGGATGCAGTCGGCGAAGCTTGTGGGGTCCGCCTGTTGCTCCGGAGTCAACAGCTTCCCTTGCCGAATAGTGTGCACGGACGTGTGGGCGTCCTTTCGGTATTCAGACAGGGTCGTGATGTTCATGAAATGAACCGGGACCCGCATGGACCTCGTCACGTTGGCCGCGACAGCTAGCAACTTTCGGTCGGTGCCCACATTGAGTGGCATCGACGTGTTGAGTATTGGGGTCGTCTCCTTCGCGCACTTGATGCCGTTCGGGTTGTTCCAGTCCAAGCTCCTGTCATTTTTCGGGAAAAAAATGGAAGGGTGAATTTTTAGAATCAGTTGAGAATTTTAGGTGTGTGTTTTGGTAAGTATTATAAGTTAGATTATAATAAGTCTCATGCGTTCAAATAAGTTTGGATTGGTATGATGAGTTTCATAAGCTTCCTTAGGCAACTTTTTCAAAAATGTTTGTTAAAATTTTTATTTGAGCTGTGGTATAATGTTATCAAATAAATATTATTATACGCTAAAATGCAATTTCGGTCCTATTAGATTATGAAGATAACAATGTAGGTTCCACTGAAGTGACATAATAGCAATTTAAGTTTTGTAATTTAATATTTTACTGTAATTTCAATCTTTTAAAATTCCAAAATCACATATTTGGGATGGATTTTTTATTAGCAATTTAAATCCTGTAATTTAAAATTTTGTAGCAATTACAGTCTTAAATTGCGATATGTCACTCTAGTGCGACTTAAATTCCTACCTTCATAGTCTAATAAGATCAAATTATTATATCAGCTAGTTTTTCAGCCACCATACCAGCTAATTTCATCAAACAATTTTATTTTATTAGCTAGTTTTTCAACCATGCATACGCCATATTTCATAATATATTAACTATAACCTTGAAATTCACTTATAAGCTAATCAATTTACTTATGAGCTATTAGCTAGCTTTTTAGTTAGGTTTAACAAACATAGCCTAGATGTCTAAAAAAAAAAGGGAGATTTGAGATCATATTACTTGATGTGGACGGGTGACATGCTCATGAAGAAGACTTGGGTGTGGTTCGGGTTCACATTTTTGTCGACCCATTTGGACCACGTCCTCAGCACTCGATTATAAGCCACGGACCTCGGCACTTCATCATACTCGGTCGAGCCTTTGTCAAACGAGCCTCGCCTGTTTCATTACCCACCGATTCCAAGTGTCAGAATCATCAATCTTGATCAATCCAAAACTCTTGTTTAGTTACAAAGGAGAGTGAGTTTTGAGTCTTTTGACTAAAAAAAGAAAACGACTCACAAGACTTTCATGGCAAAAGTGTTCATCCACCAAATGTACGTGTTGAAAACGAGGTAGTCTACGTTCTTCCAATTCTTGCCGTGCTTTTTGATGGACTTTGGCGTGATGATGCGGTTTAAAATGCTGTGCATATTCGGGTCGTCCGAGTTGGACTCCACCAAGAACGGGGCCCAGTAAAACTCCACGGTAGCATTGTAATCCTGCAGATTCAGAGGTATACAAAAGTCGGAGTATGTTGAAAAAAATCGAAAAACAGAAACTTCATGCAATTTTTTCTACAATCATTCAGCTACTACATCTGACCAACATGCCTTTAATTACATAGGGTGGTTAAGTGCTCACATGTGCCAACAGGTTATGTGAATATGTACTGGTAACTGGATTCTTCTAATCTAAGCAAAAGTAAGTATAATTTTAGCAATAATTAATGCTTGTAACATATACTTGTATATATATATATATATACCTCAATTCTGAAAACAGATAAAGAGCCAGTCTTGTTCAAGCTCTTCCTGCCAGGAGGAACTGCCGACTGAACCAAACATATCATCGACTCCCACTGATTCCGGTTCAAAGAGTCCCCGACAAACATCAGCCTCTTGTTCCTCAGTTTTTCGAGCAACAGTCTCGGTTTAAACCTTAAAAACATTCACAAATTTACATACTCAATCAATCAGTTGATCAGCAAGCCTCTAGAGAGTTAAGTACAGAAAAATACCATAAGACCTTTCAAGATTATAAGTACTGCTGCTACTTGTTTCCTCTGTTTTAGTCTAAATGACCCATGCTTTTTTAAGAAAAACTAGAGATTCCCCCCTAAGTTGTATTAATTTTACATATACCCTAAAGAAGCTGATGTTTTCTTGTAATTAGACTAAAGCTTATGCTGGTGTTTTTAACCACAATAGTAGCATTGAATTATCCGGTTAATCGCTATAATTACCCGAAACATTAAAATTTAAAACTGTGAAAAATTCAAACAAAATTAGAATTATCACTGNAACACCTTACTTAGGCAAAGAACAATCTCTGGGCTGCCACCTCCAATTCTGGTACAGTGAATTTTTCCTTCCATTCCTCATGCAAGTCACCTGTGCCGTTAAAAACTCGCATTCATCCTCCTTGTACAACGGGTGGGTGACGTTATCAAAAACCCACTCCCCGGTAAACAAATCGCAATCCTCCGGCGGGATTTCGATTTCGTCACCATCATCCTCGTTCTCATCTTCATCCTCATCGTTATCGTTTTCCCCAGCTCGAATTTCGATCCGCTTCTTATTTTCCTCTTCAATTCCTTCATCTCCTTCGTTTTCCGGGCTCGATTTCGAGATACCAGCTCGATCGATTTCCGGCTCCTCCACCTCGCTCTCCACCACGGTCCGCGCGTTCACAACCACCGAGACAGTGGCGGCGTTGCCGTTTCCAATTGTGCCTAAATCGCTGCTCGATTGCTCCGCCGGCTTGGGGCGGGAGAAGGGGAAATCGGCGAGGGTTTTGACGTCCTCGTTGTACATGAAGCAGCCGAAGATGAAGATGGAGACGACCACGGCGAAGACCGACAGGTTGCCGCCCTTACGGGCGGCGGCGGCGGCGGAGGGTTTCATGGCGGCGGCGGAGAGGAGGAAGGGGTTGAGCTTGCGGCGGAGGGAGAGCTGCATGGAAGGTGAGTGGATTATTATTTTTTATTTTTTGCAGAAAGGGGGAAAAATTTTGGAGGGGGATTTAAGGGGTGAGAGGAGAAAATTAAAAATGGGTATGTTGATGATGATGGTGGAGGAAGGGAAAGCGACCAACATATTTTTCGGTTTTTTTATTTTTTTGATTTGATTTGATTTGATTTTGTTGCTGTTTGTTTGTTGGTTGATTTGTTCAGTAGTCTACAAGTTTTTTATCTGGTGAAATGGGGCTGTCTTTGGAGAGGAATTTGAGTGAGGTTTAATGGTGGCGGGAGAGTTGTCTTTTTCTCAGGAATGTTTGATACGCTTCTGTCTAACTGCTCTCTGTTTTGCTCCCTGGCTTTGCCTTTTCTTTTTTCTTTTTCACTTTTTTTTGATGAAATGTGGAGCTTAGATATGCTTTTACAAAACATTGGTTTACATAAGTTATCGCTCTGTTGTACGGTTAGGCGGTTGATCGATTTTATTTTTTGAATAAATCATATTTTTATTTATTTATCTTTTAGAAATATGATATTTTAATTAAAAAATTGTACATATTTATTCAAAACGTTTATGGACAAAGAAAATCCAACCTAATGCTAACAGCACAAATATTTTTCTCTTTGTTTTTAGTGTCTTAGTGTGGGAAGACAAAGGAGTTAAGTTAAAGATATGTGCTATTGATGTTTGTGTTAAGATACATATATACTTGACGTGTGCTAGTGATGTTTGTGTTGTTCATAAAAGAGAATTATTGATGTGTTTGTTGATTGAATATAGTACAAATTGTGGACGTTTTAATTAATGCTAATTAATTAAATAAGAGTTCGAAACTTTTTTAATTTCTTTCAAACACCTCTCATTTTTTTATCCACATATAAACCTATAAAAAGTTTGATTATAACTTTCAAGCTTTTATAAGGCTCGGTTAGGTAAATTCATTTTACTAGGTGAGTATTTGTGATTAACTATGCTAATCTAGTTTTGATCTATACTAAGAAATTTCCACAAGAACTTTCCCTATCGGCAACAACTCTTTATTTTCAGTCGATGCATTATTAAGGTTCTTAAAACTAATTAAGTGGGGGATTAAGACTTCCTACTAATGGGTAGCTTTAAGTTTGAGAAAAGTGAAGACTAAGGTTTCTATGTATAATATCATCTAGTGTGTGTACACACTCAGTACTCTACAAACATTTTGCTCTTTTTCATCTAGTGTGTGTACACACATTGAGTTTATTCCAAGCAAAGCAAACTAAGTAATAAAGTACTCAAAAGGATAATTGTATTTCAAATGTTTTTTCTTTTTCATCTCAAAATGTATATTGAAGGTTCTTTGTTTAAACAAATATTCTGTTCTAACTCATGAATTATGAATATTTGTTGTACTGTACTTCTATTTATGTAGTGGACATTATCTTGATATGACTCATGTAGTGTATGCTTATTTTCAACTAATATATATTCTTGCGTTTGGAAAAAAAAAATGTTTTGTCGTGTAATTTTTATTACGAAATTACGATTGTATACAAAATTTTAACTCAAAATTACTATTCTCTAATCCAACTTAACTCTCCTCAATATTATCAATATAATTAAATAATATCAAACAATCATTTCTGCACATTTTTCAACAAAATTAATTCACAAATGTATTCTTAACCACCTGTTATTTACAATAATCATTTTACCACTTTTATATCATATCAACTTGAATAATTACATTTTAATTTACATTCACTCACAAACCCAAAATTCAATCCAATTTTTCATCCAATCATTTTCTTTTCAATCGCAACTCATTTTATCGGATAAATCAAATCAATTCAAAAAAACTCATTTATAAAGTTTAGTTATAAACATTTGGGACTTATTTGTTTGTTAGCAAATTGGATGCTAATTCACAACTTCTACATTCGACATTTAAAAAAAAAAAAAATGGTTCTAATTAATTATAAATTAAAAATAAATTGTTAATTATAAGTTTTCCCATTGTCGTTTCTTTTCCTCTCTCTTTTTGGTAAGACTTATGTTTTTTAGCCAGAGTACAAGGTTGAGTTTAAAAGGAAAAGGGTGAGAATATTGGCCACAAAGCTTGTAAATAATCATTCGAATTTCACATTTCACACAATTGCTATCTTCTTTTCCCCCTTATATTTCAGGTGTTTGTCGCTAGCCAAGAGAAATTTCATGTTGAAGCTGACAAAGATTACTCGAAATCAATAACGGATCTAATTCTAAAGGAAGTCCCGACTATTGAGAAGAGAAAAGGCAAAAAGGAGCAGGATAAGAAGCCCTTGATATCCATGGTCCGAGGGCCTAAACCTGGAAAGCAAACCGAATTAACCAGGATACACCTGTTGCATGATTGTAATAGGTGCTTGGATAATCAACTAACACAATGAATGTCCCTAAATTTACGAACCAAGCAAGTAACTGATAACAAACAGAAAAACCACTAAATACAGCTAATCCAGATTCTGGACAAGTTCGATTCACGAATCAGCTTAGAAATTAGGAAGTATCGATCAGAATTCCACAATATCGGGTGACAACATTCCATTACCAAAACAAACCAAACTCATAAGACGATGATCCATATGACCCGGTCTCTACCCATAATACAAAGCAGTAAATGGCTCGTACAACTACTAACCATGCATAGAAATTTACATTAAACATTATAGAAAACACATCTCCTCAAACCATTTTTCATTCTTTTCCCTCTTTTCTCCTCCCAATAAAAAAGTCAGCAATTCTCAGCTGACCCGCAAGAATGCTGCCAAATGCATAAAGAGAAGGCATCAAATTAAACAAAAATCACCTCCCGCGTAAACTTGCCGGTGACCGAATACCCTTATCGCTGCTGACATCATCATCGACCTCATGCCCATCCATGCAGAGGGCATTGTTATTAACACTCACTTCAGAGCTAGCGTTGCTACTCGTTGCAACTGGTGAATCCAATGCGCTAACTTTCCTTCTGGGTGGTCCCGATCGAACACTATACATTGACGATGCAGGTATGTTGGTCATCAGAGGCCTTAGATTTCCAGGAATAGTTCGCCTTATATCCTGCACGAAAGAATGTACTTAGAGAAAAACCATACAACAAAAATTTCTCTTTCCATATATTGCACTCATTAATTATGACTTATTACCATGTGCCTTATCGCCATATCCAAAGATTTCTTCGAAAGCGTCCTTCCGAACCCCGAGCTGTCGGGAGACGAAGACTTTCCGGACAAATTGCTGCGCGGCGAATTCTTGTCATCCATCCTGGGAGGCGCGAGCTTCCTCATATTAATAACCCTCTCCACCATCTTAGTCCCGACAAGAACCGGGCTCACGTTATCATTCGCCTTCGCATGCAGCCGGTTCACAGCTGGCACGGGAACCGAGCTACCACTGCTGTGTGAGACCCCGTTAGGCGGCCGTCCCCTCGCCGGAGAACACGACTGCCGCCTGACCCGCCCGTTCGAACCGGGTTCCACCGAAGAAGACCGCGGGCCCGGCGCCCCGGGTCGACCCCGCGTGACCGACGGCTGCCTGTCGGATATCGATGTCCTGAGGTTAGGCGGGGCGTCGAGCGAGAACCCGGGCATTTCTGAGGGCTTCCACATTTTCGGTCGAACGGTCGGTGAGCTGGGACGAGACGTGTTCCTCTGAGGATTCGTCGAGGCAGGTCTCGAAACCGAGGAGGCTGTCGGGGATTTCACGGCTGTGTTGATTACCGGACGGCGAGTCGGGGTCGAGGCCCGAGATGTGGATCTCGACGAGGGCATGGTGGGGCCCGGGACTCTAGTCGGGGTTGAGGAGCGGGCGGTGGATCGGGAGGTTGGGGTGGAGGATCTGGCGGCGGTGGGGGGTGCGGGTCTTGATGAGGAGAGAGTGGGGCGTGAGGTGGTGGGGGTGGAGGATCGAGAGGGTTTTGATGACGTGGATCGGGATGAGATTGAGGAGGTGGCGGGCTTGGTCAGGGTGGGTCGGGATGTTGAGGTAAGGGTTGGGCGGCCCGTTGGAGTCGAGGGTCTTGACCCGGACCCGCCGGAGGAAGATGGGCGGCGGAGACTTCCGCTTGAAGTGTTTAGCAGAGAGGATGATGAAGATGATGTTTGTCTGGAAGATAGGTTGTTCCTGGAGATGGGGTCGGGCGGGGGATTGGCTAGCTTCAGAAATGGCAAGAAATTGCAAATGAAAAAGAAAAAGAAAAAAAAAGGTTAGATTTGTGTGGTGATTAGTGATTACTAATGTGATGATGATGATGATGATGATGATCATATTAAGAGTGATTATAATTGGAACCGTCTCACAAATTTGAATAGAGATATAACTTGCTATGTAATGTCCACATGACAACTGGCCAAGAGATGATAAACTATATAAAGAATCTGAAGTTTGCTAGCAAAGTTCTACATATCAAGAATCGTCTGAATTTTTTAAAAAAGTTTGGGCAACTGTATGCTCCATGAGAAAATAAATGTGAATATCTTGTATATACATAACAGACTTAACATGTGTAATGATATTAATGAGCATTGTTAAATTAGGTTCCACTAGATGTCAAGGTTCACAGACTTGTCCCGCCTTTACAAAGTCCTAGGTTCATTAATTGATTATTTATGTTCCTTTAACCACCTTGGCAAGTCCCTGCCATATAAGCACAATCGGGTACTTACATGACAACCACACACACTGGTTATTGAGCAATTACAGGTCATGCCTCAACAAGTTTGGTGAGTTGAATTGTGTTCATATCAGCCCTAAGATTTTTCTATAAACTATGGTTCAGTCAGACAAACACAGATTCTCAGTTTCTTAGAAGTTCAATAGAAAGCAAGTTCATCCATTTCCACTTACTCTTGACTTCAGAGCTGTAGGTCGAGCTTTTGGAGTTCCAAGCTGGCTCATTACAGTTTTATGTTGTTCCATCTCCAGTGAAGGAAACAGAGGAGTTCCAGGAGGTGTCAAAAGCCTGAAAAGGGAAAAAAAAAAAAAAAATACATGCAAGTACAGAATCAAATAGAGACCATCTTGAGAATTGGGAATTCAATTAGATGACCCGATAAAAGCAAAGTGGAAGTCCTAACATGCCTCGACTGTTGCATATACATAACCGCAGTTCAAAGTTAAACAAAAACGCGATTCTTTCCTACGGTTCAATTATTCCTGATGCTGGTATACAGAAATATATCTAACAAGGTAATATATATTACATGCATTTGCCTGCAAAATGGTAATAAAAAGGCTACTGCATTATTGTACAGCTTCTTGGGATTGACAACCTCAAATTATTCTCTTTTGAAATACTATTCTGAGTGGTAATATTGTTGCAAGGTACATTTAAAAAAACTAGAAAAAAAACAGAATAGGATGAATCCAACTTCCAAACCACATTGTTCAGTTTCTACTTTCTAGTATGAAAAACTATATTGGGACCTTTAGGAGATTTATTTTAAATACAACATTATCCTGAAAGGACCAATAGTCATCTTCAATGTACTATTTTGTCAGAACTCTAATCAAGTTTCTATAAAACTAAGATGTTACTTCCATGTCTTCTCAATTCGGATGGAAAAAAAATATAAGCAATTATTTTCTGAGATGGTCTTATACCTAAGAATTTTCTCGTGTCCATCTGCTGTGAAGTTGAAAGTTTATCCTACTAATAAGTGTCCAAACTCTAAAAACTAACTTCTAGTGTGATTTATGCTTTCCGTTCAGCAACATTAACAAGAGAACAAGTATGCCAACAAGAATATGAATCTTCCAGTTTTCCTTTTCATTTGTCTTTAGTTAGTCTGTCTCGGACGAATAAATCAACTTCATAAGGCTTCAAGTACAACATAAAAGCAAATGTCAGGAAGCAAGCTGTAAATACCAGTCATAGTCATTTTTATCATTATCAGAATTGAGAAAATCATCAGCACCAGTCTTTCGGCCAGGAGCAGGCGTAGCCGAAGGTATATTGAATATTGGGGAAGCGCCGTGTCCTGCAATAAGAAAAACAAAACCAACTATGAAAACAAGGAATAATAACAAAGCCAGCATCAAAATAGCACAAAGACCTGTCAAATACTATCTCCAAAGCACATATTACACTTCCTGCTTGTTTCAGGACAGCAACACAGCCAGAATGCAAAAGAATAGAAATAGTAACAAAACAAACATCTAAATCTAATCCGAAAAAATTCCAAATCAAATGTTAAAAACAAATAAAAAGATAACCGAATCAAGAACCACTTAACCTTTATCAAGTCACAAGGAAACTCACAAAACCCAACAAACATAGTCCCAAAGCATACAAGGAGAAGAAAAGGGAAAGAAATAAATAAAAGAAAAATAAATCGAAACATTTTGCCATACCAAGTGGAGCATCAAACTCGTCCGAATTCTGAAGAAGAAGAAGATTGTTCCTCTCCTTCTCACGCTTCCGCATTTCCCGAAACAATGCCAAATCTTCGTCTCTATTATCCTTCAATCTCAGGCTCCCCATTTGCCCCCTTTCCGGTGCTCTAAAACTCCGATTCATCCCAAAATTGAAATAAACTAACCACCAAATCTTGAGAGTAGCAGAAAGTTCACCACACAGACGCTCGTTAAACGCGAGCTCCAGAAACCCTAGCTTCGACGGAGCCCCCAGAAATACTTCTTCAATCTTCAGAAACAAAAAGACATCTTCAGATCGATAACCCAGCTGCGTAATTCAACAACAGGCAGCTGAAATCAGCCAACATTCAAATTCCCCACATAAGAAACTAACTAAAATCCGCATTTTTCCACAACACAGTTTATTGTTAAAACAAATGAAAGGGCAAAAGTGGGAAAAGTAATGGAAAAAGGAAGAAAAAACTCGCGAATAATCTTTGCTCAAGAGCTACGCAGAGATAAAAATGGCGCTAGAATGCGTACTTACAGTACGGATCTCTCGAGCCTCAACGTCCACAATTCGGGGCAAACCCTAATGCAGAAGAAGCAGAGGCTCCCATGACAAATTGGAAACGGATCTCAGGTCACCTGAATATTCCGAACATATACTCCGGTGGTTGATAAACTAATCATCTAGTTTCTTCCTTCGTTCTTCCTTCCTCACCAAAAATCTGACAACCAAACGGTGGGCTACTGAGAGAGAATAGAAGAGAGCGGTTGAAGAAAATCGAGGAAAGGAAGTGGAGAATATTGCAATTTCGAGGGAAAATAGGGTCCGAATGAGAAATTAAAATATTTAATCCATTTTTGTCGTATGTAATGAAATTTTCTTGGTTTAAGATAAAAA